CAGATGGTTCATTGTTTTCACGTAGAAAACCAATTGACTTTATGTCAGTTTTGCGTCTTAGTGCTCGGCTGGGGTTGCTTGCTAGCTCTCAGAGTTTTGGGTAAGTCTGTAGGGAAAGACACATGTCGCCTGCAGGGAAGATAATGCGACTTTTTCCTTTCAGAACTGGATTTCTTTATTTCCTTTTCTTGCCTTTGACTCTGTCTAGGAGTTCCAAGAAATAAGTTAAGTGGAAGAGGTGAAACAGAATCCTCATCTTGTTCCTGATCTTAAAGAGAGGTGTCTTTGTTTTTTGTCCATCAAATATGCTGTTAGCTGTGGATATATGTGGATATCTATATGGATATACCCACATTTAGTATATATATAAAATGCAATCCCTCCTAATAGCCTAATTTTATTCTTTAATTGTCAAAGTATGTTAAGTTCTGTCAGAAATTTTTTTTACATCTATTGTGATTACTGTGTGCTTTTCATCCTTTATTCTGTGACTGGATAATGTATCACATAGATTTGTGTATGCTGAACCTCTCTGCAGCTCAGGGAGGTAGCCCATTGGTAGTATTCCATGATTCCTTTAATGTGCTTGTGACACTGACTGTGACAAGTTCACAAGGACTTGCGGTTTTTCTTATGGTCCCCATTTCTAAATTTGGTGTGAGGGAGATGACTGCCTTATAAAACGAGTTTGTAAGACTTCCCACCACCTTCCTTTCAGCTTTTGGAGGGGTTTAATCCTCCTTTAAATGGTTTGTAGAATTCATCCACAAAGTCCTCTTGTCCTCCCGTGCTTTCATGTGGGACTGCCTGTCACTGCTGATTCAGTATCTTCAGTTGTTAGAGATTTGTTCAAACTCTGTTTCTTCATGATTTAGTCTACAGAAGTTGTATATTTCTAGGACATTCTCCGTTTCTTCCAGGTTGTCCAAGGTGCAGGTATAAAGTTAATACAGCAATCTTTTTATGATCCTTTCTATTCCTATAGCATCTGTTGTAATGGCTCCTCTTGGTGAGTAATTTTGAGATCATTTTGTCTAACTAAAGGTTTGACAGTTTTATCACTTGAGAAAACCAAGTTTCATTAATCTTTTGTTTTTCTAGTTTCTGTTTCATTGATTTCTGCTCTGGTCTTCACTAGCTTATTTCTGTTTTATGTATAGTTTGTCCTTTTTTTGTTCTTTGATTGACGTTAGCTTGGCTGGGTTCTTTTTTCCTATTACAGACATTTGTCACTGTAGATACTTCTCTTAGAACTGCTTTTGGTGCACTCCATAAATTTTGGTGTGTTTTAATTTTTTTCATTTGTCTCAAGATAGTTTTTAATTTCTTTTTTGACCTGCTGGTTATGAAGGAGTATGTTATTTATTCCCATATACTTGTGGGAATTTTTATAAGTTCCTCAGAGTGTTGATATCGTTTCATAACACTGTGGTTAAGAAAGACATTGATAAGATTTTAATCATGTGATCTGTCCTGAAGATGTCCATGTTCCCGAGACACACGTGCACTCTGCTGTGGATGGAATCACCTGTGTGCATGTTAGCCACTTGATCTTTAGTATTTTTCAAGTCTGTTGTTTCCTTGTTGTTTTTCCGTCTGGATTATAAATCATCACCACATGTGGGATGCTGAAGTTACTGTTTACATTCCTCTCTGATCTGACAGTGTCTGCTTTGTATATTTAGCACACATTTATCTACAATTGCTCTATCTGCTTGATGAACTGCCTTCTTTATGACCATATGGTGACCTTGTGATTTGGACTGGAAATCCATTTTGTCTGGTTGACAGAGACCCTTCTGTTGTCTTTCAGTTACTGTTTGCAAGGGATATATTTTTAAACCCCTTCTCATTTGGCCCATTGGTTGTCCTAGTTACCTTTCTAATATCACGACAAAACACCACAACCAAAGCAACTTGTAGAAAAAAAAACATTTATGGGGGCTCATAGTTTCAAAGTGTGAGTCCATGACCATCATGTTGGGGAGGAATGGCAGCAGGCAGGCAGGCATTGTGCTAGAGCAGTAGCTGAGAGCTTACATCTGATCCATAAGCATCAGGCAGAGAAAAGAGCCAAACCTTAAAGGCCCCAGTGATACACCTCTGCTAACAAGGCCACACCTCCTAATCCTTCCCAAACAATTCTACCAGCTAGGGACCAAACATCGAACATATGAATCTATAGATGCCATTCTCCTTCAAGCCATCACAATGGTGAAATTTATTTCATATACAATGTATAACTGGATCCCTCTAGCCCAACCTCAAAGACCTTCCCTATACTGGCTTCAGAACTCCTGGTCCTCCTGCCTTTGCCACCCAAGTCCCAAGTATAGTTAAAATTTTTATGTAGTTATTTTGTGGTTCATACCTGAGTACTGCATTTACATCATTTCCACCCCACCTTCTCCTTCTTCTAACTTCTTTCATGTCCTTCTACCCCCTCTCAATTTCATGACCTCTTCTTTAATTATTATTGTTCTACAGACAGACATATACACATGTATGTATATAACATACAGCCTACTGAGTCCATTTAGCACTGCTCATGCATATGTGCATTTTGGGCTGACCACATGGGGTTAGATAATCTATCCCTTTCTCAGAGGCCATTGATTGCCTGTAGTTTTTAATCGAGGAGTGGGGCCTTGTGAGATTCCCACCATCCATGTTAGCATGTCAACTGGTGTTGTCATGGTGCAGGTCTTGTTTCAGTGACTATAATTTTGAAAGTTCAATGGGTACAGCTTCCCTGGCATGTCTAAAAGGCACTTTCTTACAGCACATGTCTGGGTCCTCTGGTTCTTAAAATTCTTTCTGCTCTATGTTCTACAATGTTTCCTGAGCCTTAAATTCTATTTTGAATTGGTAGTAACTTTTTAGTTGCAAAAATTATATTGTTATTCCCCACCCCATTTTATGCTAGTCTTTTTATATTGCATATCCATTAACAAACCATTGCAGCTACATTAAAAAATACATTTGTTTGTTTTCACTCCTGAAACACTAGCATTGTCAATAGTTTAAGCTCAATGCACTTCCTTTGATGGAGTGGCATAGCTTCATGCTTTCACGTTGCTGGTTGGTATCATGTCAATGTGGAGAGTTCCCATTGGCATGTCTCATTAGGCAGGTATAGGCATGACACCTGGGAATATCTTTATTTTGCATTCATTTCTAGGTGGCAGCTTTTCTAGGTATGTTCTTGGCCTGAAGTTATTCTTTCAGAACTTTGGTTTCATCATCTCATTTCCTTCTGCCCTCCAAGGTTTCAAAACTCTGACACACACACACACACACACACACACACACACACACACACACACACACAGAGAGAGAGAGAGAGAGAGAGAGAGAGAGAGAGAGAGAGAGAGAGAGAGAGAGAGAGAGAGGTTCCTTGTATGTGATGGATCTCCCACTGCCTTTACAAGTCCTCATCTCTGGCTTTTAGTTTGATTATGTCTCAGGCATCCATCTTCAGGTTGATCTTGCTTGGAATCCTTTCAGCTTCATGACTCTAGATAACCTACCAAGATTTGGATAATTTCTTAGCCATTATGTCTTTAAGCCTTCAGACTCATTCCCTCCCCTTCCGGGGCTTCTCTAGTTCTTTTTTTGTGAGCACCCACAAAGGCTTGTCCTAACCTTATAGCTTCGATTCCCCCCTTTCTCTCTGATAGTACTTATAGTTTCAGTTTGCCTGTGATATGGTTTTCAGTGTGTTGGATTTGGTGGTAAACTGTTTTTTGCCATGTTGTGATTTTACAAATCTCAGCTTACCTTACCGGGGTTTTTTGACTTTTCTTTCGCTGTGAGGATCTTGCTGCTTCTCTGTGGGTGACCCCAAGTCTTTTGTGTTTGCTCATTATACACTGCCATCAGCCACTGACTCTTTGTGGTGGGCCCTGGGGACCAGCATATGCTTTCTTGGTCTCTCCTGAGAAGCAGGGCCTTGTGGCTCCATGGTCTGTCACTTGGGGCTCAGTTCTGGCTTCCACCACAGGTTTAGGTCTGAATCTGACACACTAATCTGCCTGTTTACTGTAGGCTCTCAGTGCCCACCCCAACCCTGCCACAGAGTTTATCTGAAATCTCATATAGGTTGCTGACTGTGAAATATTCACACCTCCCCTATGTTTTGATGTTTGTGAGGAAAGGGGTTCATCTTACAGTCTCCTGTGTTCCTGTATCCTGTTCAAATCCATACTTCACAACACCTCATCATGACAGGGTGGTTGGGCTGATTGCCTGGACCAGTGCTTCACATTCTGAGGACTTAACACTTTTGGCTGGCTTATTTCAGATTGAGCTTAGATGTGGGTCTGTGCTGAAAATGAGTGGTCCTACTCATCCTTTTGGGATGTATAAAAGGGAAGTGTTTAGTTACTGAAGTCTTGCTTTTAAGGGCAATTCATTTGTCCCCAACTTGTGTGTACATGGGGTTGTCCTGATCTGAGAGGAGTTCCTTGCACAGGGGGAAAGCCTGCTGGGCAGTGACTGCCCCTATTCCTTACCACACAGTCATGGTGTCTCAGCAAAGCAGCTTGCGAACTGTGAAGCTTTGCTGCTAGAATTCCTAGCGCCCCACCCACCCACCCACCCACCCAGTGTCACCTCGATGGCTCTCTAACCTCCTCCTTTAATGGCTTGGAATGTATGGGCATATGTATGATGAGTATGGGTGAGTGCACATGTAGGGGCTAAAAGCAGCACATTAGTCTGTAGGATTGCCTGCAGGCATGTGGGATGCTCATGGGGGAGCTGGCTGCTCTGTTACAAGGCCGTTCAGGATGCCCAGTCATGGCAGAGAAGGGACTACTCTTTAGCTAGCCCTTGTTGGCAGCACTGTGGCAGCACTTAGATGCAAGGTGCTGACCTGGCATTTGTCTGGTACTCAAAGGGCAAGGCCGTGGGAGTCACTGAGCTAGTCCTGGCTTGGGCCTGGCTGCTGACTCCTGTGTTGGGTACTGGTCTCCTATGTGTTTTCCTGTTTCTGACAGGGAGGGTGACCATCCCGCTGCTAACGGACCAAGAGCAGACATACAAGGCGCCCACCGGTGTCCAGCTCAAAAAGAACCTAAAGCAGAACAAGGTGTCCAATATGAGATCTCGAAGCCGAACCAGGCGTCCACAAAGGCAGACAACCTACTGGACTGCTTGACACAATGTTCCATCTGCACTCACCAGTGAGCACCTGATTGCCCAGCTCTCTCCACAGGGCTCTACTGAGTCTCTACCTCACTCCATGGCTGTCTATCCTGGCCAATTGAGGGGAGAGAACTATACACCCTCCCTCTCCCAGGGAGGAATCTGGGCCACCTGGCATCAGAGCTTCCCAGGACTTGCAAAGAGGCAGAAAGTGAGGATGCGGTTGCCACGCTGGGCCTGGGCACTGCAGGTATCCTTGGGTAGGATCTAATACCCAGCAGGAGCTTGCCCTTTGGAGGAGCCTCCCTTCTGGGAGCTGTTTGGAGGTCTCCTTGGGATTCATGGCCAAGAAGCATTTGTGGGGTGGGTTTTTTTTCTGTTTCCTCGTGCTTGAATAGTAACACTGTAAATGTACTTGGGCAGCAATGTGGGCCACAGCTCCCAGATAAAGCAGACATGCCACACCTGGCTGAGCAGGGCTTCTTTGAGTCCTGCTACTGAGTAAGCTTTCTAGCCATGGAGGCTGGCACTGTGTGCTCACAAAGGCACAGGTCAGCTCCTTGAAGTGAGGGTGAGCCAGTCCTAAATTAGCCTTAGGCTGTTTAGGGTCTGTCTGCAGCTGCAGGACACCCCAGAACAGACTGGAGTGGCAGGACATCCTTGGTCCGAACACTGTTCTCCTGGGTACCTCAGAGTACCTGGCAGGAATGAGAAACTTTCTATGGGCAAGACAATGACGTGCATTGAGGGGGCTTGGAGAGGTACAAGGTAGGTGGGGCCAGTGCAAGCTGGTATCTTTGCCCTGGTATTCTGGCTCCGTCCTCCCATGAACTTTGGCATGTTCAGCTGGCACAGGCGGGCATCCTCCCAGGCAGGAATTGGAGATGTTCAATGGTCACCACCCCATGGAAACCCTAGTACCTTGCTACAGGTGCAACCCATGCTCAAACCCCTTCCAACAAGCCCTGATCCGTGCCCTGCTGTTGTGCATGCCACGCTCACATATACACAAATGCAGTCTCACCAGAGTTACATGAGGTCACGTCCACTGTACGTCTCCAGCCTTTAATTCATACAAGGACTCAAAGAACACACGTTACCCACTGGCACTGAGTGTCAGGGAGCCTCATGGAGGAAGGACACAGTAGCTTGGCCACTATCCTGGCTGCCCTGTACATCATGGGTGCTGCTGTCCTGACACGTAGGCACTCATATCCCAGAGCCCAGATCTGGCTTCTGCCACCCCTGCTTGAGTAGCACTAGCAGAACTGTGGCAGAATGGGTGTGCTCAGGGAAAGGACCCAACAAATCCACAGACCCACTGCAGAGAATACCCATCCTGGGCCAGGGGACCGACTACCAGGAAGACCTTGGTTCACTGTGCTGGCAATAGCCTCCTTAACCCAGTGGCCAAAAAAAAAGGAAGGAAAAAAAAAAAAAGGTTGGTAAGCAGCCTTTTCCAGGCTTCTGCATGTCAGGACCACTGTCTTCCTGGCTATAGCAGCTCAGCATCCCCAAGGCCCTGGAAGAGAAGCTGTGACAGCTTCGGTAAGCCAGGTGCCCCCAGGTCTCAAGGCCACAGGAGGATACCTGCTTCCAAATGGTGCCCTGAGCCTCTCCAGTGCTGTCCAGGAAGACTGAGATGTAGCGCTCAGTGGACAAGGACACCGAGAGTCTGAATGTGCATGTCTGTAAAAGCCCTTCACTGTCGATGCTCCCCTAACTCCTACAGAGTTGCCTGGGTCAGGAAGGGGCCCAGGCATCCTCCTGACTTGCCGTACCAGGTCCCATTGACCCTGAGCTGAAGTTTCACCAGTCACCCAGCATCCCTGTGGCCAGGGGAACCTTTAGAAGCGGGATTGAGGCCTGATGTGGCTGGCTATTCCCCTGAAGTGAGGTTCCTTGTGTGGACCCCCCCCTCCCCCTGGCCAGACTTTGTGAACCCATATGAGGGGACAGAACACACCCTCAAGCAGTATGGCAGAGCTGAGCCCAGTGTGGCCATGCCAGCTGCCACCTCACCTACATCACACTCAAGGAACCCCAGAGAGGATCTTCTTGGAGGACCACATTCACTGGGCTCCACAGGGGCACAGGGTCCTGGCCTGGTATGTGTGGGGATCCTGGCTGCAGAGTTTCTTCTGAGTAGAAGGTTTCATGCATAAACGTGAAGGCCCTGCCAGAGCCTGGACAGCAACATACAGGCAGCCCCTGCAGGCTTCCTGGGGAGCTGCGGGATGGGCCTCAGTCTCTGACATCTGTGGCCCTTGGGGTCTGGTGGGGAGTCCCCAGTGGGAAGAGGCGGGAAAGGAAGGCACAGGCTCACTTGAGGTCTCCGATGGGCTGTAGCCAACAGCCGCCCTTCTGGTTGGCCTCACGAGCTTCTGGAGTGGTGCAAGAGGGTAAGGGAGAGTGTGCAGCCAGAGGTGCCCCTGAGGTCCCTGAAATACATGGCTTTTGGGGACACTGGCTCGCAGCTGACCTGATACGAAATTAAAAGCTAGGGTGACAGGCGCGGTCAGACCCAGGAGGCCAGCACCCCATGCACCCTGCCCCAGCACTCAGAGCTACTGTCTCCTCATCCTGCCCTGGGCCTCGAAGGCCAAGAGAATTAAATATTGTCTGTTGCATGTTTTGGCCAAGACAGTCCTTGGGGATAGGGGGGCAGTTACCGCCACCTGGGCCTGGCTGCTGCAAGGACCAAGGTGACGAGGAAGGGCAGGAAGAAGCTGTGGGGCTCTGGGCAGCTGGAGGCTGAGGTCTTCTGTCCTTCCTGCTCTGACAGGCCGGGGAGGGCATGGGTCAAGGGGGTCCGGGAACTGGAGCTCTTCTTGCTGACCCTCCGGCCACAGGTGTCATCTGGGCAGCCACCTCCACTGCCCGAACCACTGCCATCATCACCTGGGGGAGGACAGGAGGCTGCAGCCAGCTCTTCCTACCAGGGACCCGGGGGCTGTGTGACACTGGGAGTCCGAGCCCCGCTACACCTGAAGACACAGGCCCTAGGTCTGCCTCCTGCTGTCCCCACCTGCTCCATGACAGCCAGACGGACATCCTGGCTGGGCTTCAACTGTGCTGGAAGGACATGGGGCCTTTACAGCATCCATGAGGGTGAAGGGTTGAGGGCCCTTGGCAGAGGAGTCTGGAGAGGCCTTATACCTTCCTTCCTACGAGCAGGGAAGATTCCCTCCCCAAACCACCCTACCCCTGGCGGGCCTCACTAGCATCCTGGAAGTCCACGTCATTGCCGCCGTAGGCGCCACGTAAACGGTTGGTCATGATCTTGAGCTGCATGATCTGCTGCCGGATGGTCATGTCAGGCTTGGTGATGTCCACTTCCACCTCAGGGTTATTGATCTGGTTGGCCAGTCCATCACCCATCACCTCAGGCAGGTACCTAGAGCAGGGGAGTCCGAGCCACGACTCATTACATTAGCTTTTGCAAAGGAGTCAAACCATGGTGTATCACACCCTCACCACACCCCGAGGGCCAGTGAACCTCCAATCTATTGGCAACCCATGCAGGCCCCATGGTAGGGGATATGTGCTCACTGCTGGGAACTGGTGAAGGTGTGTGATCCTCCAGCCCAGCTTCCCACGCTCTGGGGCATTTGTGAGGAATGTGGCCAGTGGTGGACACCTACCGGCCCTTGGATATTCCGTTCCAGCAGCGGTCATCACTGGCAGGGCTCATGGCCATCTTCTCACTGCACAGCGTCCCTGGGAGGCTGATCCAGAAGTCCTGAATGTCTCGGAGCTGGGCCTTGGCCTCAGAGACCTGTTGGATGGCAGTCAGACCAGTGAAAAGCCAGGGGACAGATTGCCTGGGTCTCCTCTCACATATATAGGGCTATAGCCACTGAGACGGTTGAACTTACCAGCTTCTCCAGAGTACCTGTGGGGGCCTTCTCTTGGAGTGCTAGTTTGCCACGGCGACGCTTCTCCTCAGGCCCAGAGCCGTGGGGATTGACCTTCGGGTTTCCGCAGCCCTGGATGACCTGGGGAGATACCAAATGGGTCTGGAGGGGTAGCAGGGTTTCTCCGGCCCAGATCTGTACAGACCCTCCAATGCTCACAGTGCCTCCCAGCCCCTCACACACCTTGGCTGTGAGTGTGTCCTTGTTGTCCTGCAGGTTGTTGATGGCTTCCGCCAGCCACATGTGTATACTGCCAATGACATTCTCCGCACCCGACGGGCCCCAGAACTTGTCAGTGATAAGCACCATGGAGTCTGGAAGAGGTGTTCATATGTATGCACATAGGTCAAATGTGCACGTTAATAACACACAGTCTTGACAGTACCAGTCAGAGGTACTGGTCAGCAGAGGGTCACATGAGCTCACATTGAGACTGGGCCAGCATACACTCATGCAGCTCAAAGCATTAATAGTTGGATACCCATATACATAGGTTTTCATGAACACACAGGACATCTTGCTGGCCTAGTTCATGTCTACACATGTCCATGTTAGTTCATGCAGGTGTTGAACATGCATGAATAACTTCTGGCCCACCATGTGCCCACATAAGCTGATGTATATGCATGCAGATGTGCCGCATACCAGCTCCTGTACACATGAACTGCGTTTCTGCATGTGCCAGCTTTCATATAGCACAGATGGAATCATATATGCACACTGGCCCATGGTGCCAACACATCTGCCAGGTGGATGATGATCAGCATACTAACCAGCTCATACCAGCTTTGTACCAATGCTGACACGTATGCATGCCAACTTGCCCCATATCAACAGATGTACACAGTGATTCATATGTATTGTTGTATGTCAACTCGCCTTATGCCAGTACATGTAACATGTAGGCACACCTGTGATTGGCAGGGAGACCCTGTGCACACCACACAGGCTAGCCTACTATGTGCAGTATACATACATGCCAGCTTGCATTGTCAGTGTATGCACACGCATTGTCACACATCACCTATGTGTTGGTGTGTATATGAGGATGAGAAGCTATTTGACCACACCCCTTGGGGCAATAAAAGAATCTGTCCCTTGATCCCACCCACCCTCCTAGATCAGGCCCTCAAACCTTTCATTTGGCCCAAACCAGGGACTACTGTCTCCCAGGACCCTTGTATGGTGCTCCTAAGGGCAGGCCAGGCAGCCTGGGGGTAGGGCTCACCCAGGAGGTTCCTCCACTCAGCATCCAGGTCGGCCTGATTGGCAAGGCAGCCTTTGAGCACATTTCGGCAATAGTCAGGGCAGGGCCGGGCACCAGGGACTCCCCGGCAGTGGGCACAGTACACCAACTTCATGATGGCCCGAGAACATTCTGGGGCCAGAGGTACCTGGAGAACAAAGGCAGCCTGAGCCCCCCTGCAGTCCTTGCGCACCCCGTCACCAGCTACCCCTGAGGGAGCACCAATATGAAGGGCTCGAGATGCAAGCTAGAACATCTGTGTGCAGCTCTAACTGGCTGTGGGACTTCGCCTAGCTCAGGC